TGTGTGTGTGTGTGTGTGTGTGTGTGTGTGTGTGTGTGTGTGTGTGTGTGTGTGTGTGTGTGTGAGAGAGACAAGTTTCTTGTCCAAATTTCTCTTTTAATTAATTTATGTAGAGGCCAAGCTCTGATGGTTGCAGAGCAACAACTTATTTCTGAAAGCAGGGCAGGAGGATTTCTTTACTTTGCASTCTAAAATCAGCTGACAGCCCAAGTTGTAGGCCAGAGTTAGCAAACAGAAGTTCAGGAATGTTATCAGCTGTAGCTAAAATTAGATAAAGGAAGCTGCTGCTGTATTTTGTTTAACCTGCATGTTCGATTTAAACCTTGGTGTCTTCATAGTTAACCTGCAGATTCATCGTTTTATTTTTACTTTATGTTCACAGATGTCAGACTTTTATGCTTTATACCATTTGAGTACTTCAGACACAAATCCTACACTGCTGACTGACAACAGAAGCCATATTTAACCTTCTGGCTTATTTCCCTTGGGGTGCACCAGCGCTCTAACCTGGATTGAGGGACGGTTTTGTCGACGAAGAGGAAGATGGCTTTCTCTGAAGGCAGCTGGATCCGTTTTCTGATGATCCACATGAACTGAGCCACCGTGATGTCAGAGGGCACCAGGTACTTCCTCTTATCGATGTCCACAATCTGAGAGCCGGAGACCTTCTCCACGATCACCTAGAGCAAAACCAGCCAAGCGGACAGATAACTGACTGTGTGTGGTTAGAAAAGTATAATGTCTAAGCACACAGTAACAAACTGATTACAGTTTAATAGATGTTTGCTCCTTTGGTTTTATGGTTGTAAATGACTTTTTTAGTGAGCCAGCTGCATCAGTCGTTAATACACATTATAAAAACTAATCTGTTGGCATAAAAAATACGAATCTCTTCTTATGCTGTCTGTTATAAAGAAATCCTGGAGCATTTGTGTCTGTTAAGCCCTGAACACTGTTCAAGTCAAGGCTTACACAAACTGGAAAGACCGCTGCTTAACTTGTTTATCTTTTGCTGCTACTTAAATATCAATGAGGCTTAAAGGTCAAACAAGACAAACATGACTGGCAAAGAAAATAAAACAATCACTGACAGTTTACAGTTCGACAATAGTTTAAGTCCAGTGATTATTATCTAAAGGTTTCATTAAATATCCATCCAGTTGTTCCTCAGATGTTTTGCTAAGACTCCCAGTACTTCTTTTGCAATCAGTTAGCATTTGCATTATGAGTTGTTATCAGTTAGTATCACAATATGAGTTGTGGAACAGTCTCAGCTGCTACCACACCAAATTTTAGGTCAATACCTGTAAATTTGGCTGAATTATTTCCAGTTTTCTGTTGTCTTGAATTGGGTTGCGTCCAGTTGTGATCAATCTCTGGAAAATTCAATGTTTTTTCAATGTTTAATGGAGCGAATAAACAAATAAATAACCTCAGGTTTACGTGGATCCGCAGTAGTAATGTGATAGGCAGAGTTGCCAGATCTGAAATAGTGAGCTTTGGTTTTAAAATGATTGTATTTTGACTCAAACTGTCATGTGTTGAGTGAGGGTGTTCTAAGATCTGACAGAAAATGGTGGTTGTGCTCGGGGATTTATATGTGTACGCTTATCTGGCAACCCTGACACAGTTTTATGATCAGTTACATCCAAACTGGTGAAYACACTAACATTACTTTGTACCTTATTAGTTTTGTTCTTAAGCACTGAAAAACTAAAAGCACAAAAAAGTAAAACACCCTGTCATTTATTGAAACTGTTAGTGCAGAAAAACTATTGCCTGCAGCCGCCTGTGTGTGCAGCAGGATTTCACACCTCTGCAGGGAGGTTTTCTGAAAAAGCTCCACTGTGGATTCAAGAAATTCCACAGAGACTCTTTTCACTGTTGTGTAAACAAAAGACTAAACTGCAACAAAAATGTTACAGTTTCACTACAATCCAGCCCCGTGTAAACAACCCCTTTGTTTCTACAATTTAATCTATTTAAATCTGTTCAGTGGCTTTGTTATGCCAAGAGACATAGACACACACATATAGACAGACATGGGCAAAACCTTTTTCACATTTCAACTGCAGCTAATAAAAATTCAACGTCTTGTTGCAAATCAGTTTAAGTAAAATGAAACAGAAGACTCCTGATTTCTTCCACACCTCCCTGCAACAGCCCTGCTCTTTAGCTTTTGATTTTCTGTCACTCCATTTTGCCAAAGAAAATCCCCCCTCCTTCCTCTGCAACTCACCGGTACTCTGTCRGGGTATTTGTTGCGTATTTTGGCTGACTCCACACATCGGTGCTCTGAGGGAGAGAGACAGCAAACAAACAGGAAGTCAGAGATAAAAGGGATGAGTGGGGCCTGGTTCAATACAGAGATCCATAAAAGCACAACAYAAGGAGCCGCAGCAGACGTTTTTCCCACAAAACACCAAGTTAAAGACGGATTATCTGTTCTTGTACCAATTTATTACCCGGTTATACAGCTAAAAGACACTTTGGAGTGATTTTAAAGACATTTATTGCCATGGCGGTGCATTATTTCAGGCAGGATCGCGTGCTGCAGGCAGACAATGAGCAGAGGCCTGGGAGGGGAAGGTGATGGTTTATAAGATGTGGTGGATCCATTTAGGAGCAGGCTTTCATTAACCCACTTAAGAGGCCCACTTTGGGATGTGATGAGAGCTTCAACACAAAAGCTGAGTTATAAAGGCACATGTTACAGTGTCATAAAGAACAATTTCAAAATTCAAACAGTATTTTTCACATATTGATGGTTAGTGTTTTCTTAATTTATTACCACCATATGTTTGTTTACATACAAAAACAGTCAGARAAAGGCTGAAAAAGGGCCAACAACCATTTGTCCATGGAAAAGCCATATATAATGGAGAAAGCTAAAGATTTTGTTGTCTTTGTATGTATTTACACTCAAATTTGTCGAGTATGCAGATACAAACAAATCTGTTAGGTTCTATAACATTTATTTACACTTAAATGTCTTTTGAGAGTCTACGCCTCTGCTTAATATCAACCACRTGACTCTGGCTTCCATATGGTTTTTAATGGGGGTTCAGCTGAGTGTTTTGTTTACACTGAGTGCAGACCCGCATTTCATAACTGCACACCAATATTACGGGAACACAACTGGAGTAAATTCCTTCGAAATGTATCATTTGATATAGCTCAGGGTAACCCTTTTATGTTGATTTTATTTGCAATGACTGCCTTTAAGTAACAGAAATATTATCAGGAAAATGTTATACCAAATGTGAACAATCTCGCAGTGGTCATTAGGCCTACACAATGTAAACGTTGTCAATTTTCTTAAAGATGCTAAACTGAATCAACACAAAAAAGTACATTGTTTTTAAATTCATTCCAAAAGGCCTTAAACCTTGCATTATGCCTGGTTTAAGACAGGCACACATTTCAGGGTAGATTTAGCTGACTATTTGTTTTTTAAAACGATGATGAAGCGGGTTAATTTACAGCATTTATTTGCAGGTTGCAGTAATAATTATATATACTTATATTAAAATAAAGATGCATATTGCGCATATGAGGGGTGATACAGAAAAATCGATGCGGGGACAGCAAAACGGAAAGGAAGCTGCGTGACACGACAAGAACATCTCTCGTTTCATAACAACCCGAAGCCTTTCTGGGGGATTTTTACCGAGAGAATGGTCCTCCTTAAACATCCATTTCATCTTTGCTGGATCCCCGCACTGAGGCGCGACGGCTAAGCTCCTGAATCAGCGGCGAATTCCGTCGAATCCTCCAAAAAAAACCCAGACAAACGCGATCAAAACAAAGCGTCAAAAAATCAGCCTCTGCCTTTCAGCTGTCCGTCTAACAGTGAGGTGACGTCACCGTCTGACAGTGTGCTGCCTTCAGGGGCTCGCTGAGGGAGTCGGTACTTTCACGACTCTTGTTTCAAATACACTGGGAAGTAAAGATTTGTTTTATTGCAGTGGCATACTATTTGGATGCATCATTTAATCATTTTTTTATAAAATACAAGGTCAAATGTAAAGTAATAAATATATTTTAAAAAATTAATTGCTCAACCTACRCTTTTCATTTTTTTCACTCCACATCTATTATTGCAACAAAGCAGAAGCAAAACATGTATTTAATNACCTACGCTTTTCATTTTTTTTCACTCCACATCTATTATTGCAACAAAGCAGAAGCAAGACATGCATTTAATAATGATAATTTTGAAAAAATCTTAAAATTTGTTCTTTAAAAAAACGTAGAGCCGCTCTGGTAAGGTTTCTAGAGTTCCTCAGACATTGAACGCAGCATGATCGCTGACGCTGACTGCCATGGTAACCGTGAGGCGCGGTAGCTAATGCTGCTCTATTTACAGAAGCTAACAAAGCAGTGACTTCAAACGCARCTYATACTATTTACACTGATGGGTGACKTTAWTGCGTCGTTTGCATTTAGATGGACATCACTTAACACAGAACCTGATTCTTGTTCGCGCAGATTCTTTGTGTTTCTGTAAACGTTTACTTATCTTTCARTTAGCATTCGCGTTAGCTTATTTCACAAGTAAGCTAACTAGCTTGTCGAAACGCTAATTTTGACCAATACTTATGGCTTTTTATGAAGTCTACTCTCACCCGTCCGAGATTCGGTACAAAACGAGTGTGTGTACAAAAGCCACGTTGTTTCTAGTTATTGTTTCATGCCTGACATACATCGCACCTCTGCTCGTTGCTTACAGGAGCCAAGGTACAGTATTACAGATAGTAAATCTAATCATGTTGAACGTTAATTGTGTAAAAATGTTCTGGTTGTATCAGTTTCAAGTCGTTATGTTATAAAGCAGAAAGCTTTGACTAAATTGTGTTAATGCGTTAAAGTCCCACAACCCCAAATAAACACTGAAATGGTAAATAACATTATCAAAGTTTAATAAGACATAAGAGTTGGCACCAGAACATGCTTGACTTTTTACGCATAAGCAATTACTTTAATAGCACGCTCAGTTTTAATGAGTCGACATGAATGTTCACTGAGTTGAGCTGCTTTCATTTCAGGTTTCTGGATAAAGCGAAGCACCTATGAAGAACAGCCGGTTGTGAGATTCCAGTACCAGACTCTGCTGGTGGCAGCAACCAGTACTCAAGGACACTATGTCGCCTGGAGCACGTTCCCTCATCTTAACAACATGCTCGGAACTAACCTACGGATCCCCACTGTCTCAGTAAGAATAATCTCATGCCTTTTCCACAAAACTATAAAGTCAGTCTTTGAAGGATATTCATTTTGTTCAATCCTGAACTGAAAAAATAAAGCAATCATCCTTTTTATGAGTAAATTGCACCTCTGTATGTTTGCATAGTGTTACATTATAAATATAACATACATTTTATATTTGTACACCCTCCTAAATAAAATGGTAAAATTGTATCTTTATTAATATTCAAAGAATGTAATTTATGTTAAACTCTCCTGTGAACACATTCTATAGGTAAGAGAAGAGGATCTGAACCAGGATGGAAAGTTGGACCTTTTGRTCTTCCAGCTGCAGCTTCCTCTGAAGCCTGATGAACAAGTTTACAGTGTTCAGCTGCTGCTCACCTTCAGCTATCAGCTCTTTGTATGTGTTCCTCCAGTCACTTCTTTTTCTCTGACAACTCACATGTGGGTCAGTGCTTCTTTTGAAAGGGGACTTTTTTTGCCTTTAGGATTAAAKTAACCACTTCTTGTTTAGTTTGTTCCCTTTGTGGTTTAATTTTAAAACATTTCCTCTGTGTCTGTGCTAACATATTCATGCTCCTTGTCATTTTCCACTTTGCATCAAGGTAAAAATTTGACAACAGCGTTAGTGTATTTAGTATTAGTATATTTGAAGACTACTTGGTGGTTGTTTTTTGTAACTTACATCTATATTTTAAAATCACTAACAGCCCCAATTTTTTAAAAAAAGTCAGTTTAGCCACTCAGCTGCACACACAGCAGCTCCAGTGAGCATTTCARCTGAAGAGTAACATTATTTGTATTTGTTTTGCTAGCGGATGTCCACAGTAGTGATGCAGAGCCTGGCTTTTGTGCAGCACTCCTCTCCTGTTCCTGGAGCCAARCTGTTCATTAGTGGRGACCTGAGACTGCAGCAGAAGACGCCTCTGCCTCATCGAGGATTGTATAACATTTACAATGTGAGAACACCTCGGTCTGATTTCTTTGTGGGGTTGTAAATACAAGTTTTAGCAGACATTATACAGATATTATACAGTTTACACAGCAAAGTAAAAGCCAACATATACATACCAAACAGAATTTGCCAGATGTATGACTGAGAAGAGAGGCAGTTTCAGACCAAATTTAAGAAATATATAAAATAACATAGGGCAAACATAGAAAAGTATTATTWACATTAATTTGTTCATCCAGTACAAGTCTGGTGAATGCTCCTGTTTTAGTTTAGATCCTAAAACTTATTTTGCTTTTTGTCAGTTCTGTTTAAATCCTATCTCTGGCTCTCATCATCACAATACAAATACAGACATTCAGTATTATTTGAACTATATGAAACAGAATTAAACTTTGTTGAAGTTTGATTTAGTTTCTTGATTTGTGTTTTGATGAAAAAGGTGTCAGCGATCGATGGCTCCAGTCCCTTTGCAAGTACTTATGATCTCAACAACATTATCAAGAGCTACCAGGAGAGAAACTGTAAGCTGACTAATGAACTTAGTTTATTTATATGTTTTACAGTACTGGATTTTGAATAGTATACAATATATTTTTCCTTTTAGTAACAACAGTCCTGTCCTGTCCGATGCCAGTCTGGACAGTGGGACAAGCTGCTGGTTCTCCCTTTGAGCTGAATGCTGAAATCCGTTACCCGATGGAGGTCATCAGATATCCTTTAACTACAGGACAGGAGTTGGTCTGTTTGTAAATACCTTTTGGTACACACATAAATACTATAATTCTAAAACGAATTGTGATGTGCTGGAGATCACTAATATTGACTACCACTCCAAATTGCATCTTAAATATCTCTAAAACTGGTTATGGCTATTTTGGGTTAGCTGTGGTAGACTTTTTGAGTTTTGAACATAGGACTGTAAAAGTAAAGCTGGGGTTTACTGACAGCTACTACCAAATAATAGCTCCATTTCTCTAAAAGAAAATCAGAGTTTTAGCCATTTTCGTGTTTTGACAGGTTTTCAGTGGCAGCCATTTTTTTATCTAGTTGGCCCAAATAACTATTTAATAGCAGTGATTACTCTGAGGTATTTCAAAGAGTGAACAATATTTTTATTATTATTATTATTTAACCTTGCAATCCTATTGAGATTTAGGGTTATTTTTTGCACACCATGTCACCATGGTAATTTGAAATGTCAGTAAAATAGCACACATGTTGCGATCAGTTGGAGGCATTAGAGGACGCGTAATTGTTTCCTTTCCTTTCATTGGAAGACCCTCAAAACATATCAAATGTCTGATTTTTATAGGTCAGATTTCTAAACAATAATTGTGTATTATAATTAGTCGAGTCTGTAGCAGCAAAACACCTCAGTCTTCTGTTTTGTTGTGTTTTATTTACCTTTTCATCAGTTGGTGAAAGTCTAAATGAAAAGTACGTTTGCTAACATTTCAGCCTTAACCGTGTCCCTCCACTTACCGTCCCGGCTTCTGGGAGACCATTAAGTTTGCTTGGATACAGTATGTCAGCATCCTCCTCATCTTCCTGTGGGTCTTTGAACGCATCCAGAGATTTGTTTTCCAGAACCAGGTTTTGACAACCGTACCCATACCTGTTGGAAAACCTCACCTGTCCTGATGATTTTTTTACGTTTAGGTTTGGACCCTAGAAAAGCCGACACCCGACACCCTTTGTCAATTTGCTCCACGTCTGTAACGTTTGTCTTTTAAGTTCATGTTGATATTAAAGTGTGTATCTTTTAGGTTGAGATGTGTTATTGTAAGAGCTGGGCATCATTTTGTTACAATTAAACATTAAAAATACAAATACTATCATATTCTGACCTGTGGGCACTACTAAACTGAGACTAWTGATAAAAACAAATATGATTATCCGATTGTGCAATCTGACCTCCAGACAAACACTGTCACAAAAACCTGCTTTGATATTTATTTAACTGTAGATTCGTGCTGATAAAAGTCTGTGGGGGGAGAGTTATACATAAGCATTATTAACTGTAAAGACAAAGATAAATCATTAACAAGTTTGTAACACATTTATGCATCTGCAATGTTAATACAAGATTCACACAAACAAACAACACAACATTGGTTTATAATCTCTATTAGCTCAAACTCAGTTTTTAGAGKGGAACCATTTGTTCTGTTTTATTATATAAATTATAATTTCAAAATAACCTAGAGATATTTAAAAAAGCATTTTATATCTAAAACATCCAGACTTTATAAATAATTGTCTCTATAGAAAATTGCATTTTGTTTGCAGCTTTTTTGGCTAAATACTTTGAAGACTTGGACTATTTGCTGTAACAGAAATATCACCAGAAAATATCTGATTTTCTTCCTGAGTTTTCTAGTTTACTGTTTTTACTGTTTTCTAGCAAGTGAATTGGAAAAAAAATGTATTTTCTATATTTTTCTATTTGTATGTTCAGAGAGTTTGTAAAATAAATCAATACATTTTGATATCATTTCTGTATTTTAGTCTTGTGTACTCTGCAACCATATCAGGTTTTATTATTAGTATCTGTTATTTAATTGCATATGGTTCATAATAAAATAACAGTATTAAAGTTTTAGGGCTAGTCTAAGTTAATGAGTCTATTTTGCTTTATTAGCTTATTTTAATAAGTACAGTGTCCATGTAATGAGCATTTATGAATTTCCCAAAAGGCTGTTTTATTATCCGTAGTACTTGGATAGGAAGAAATAATTGCCTTTCAAACAAAACTCAATTTAAATAAAAACTAAAATCATTYAAATACTATTTATTTACTGACCATTTTAGTTTTTGTAGATTTTGTTGTATATTTAATTACTGTGAAAGTGAGTCAAGTTTAAGGTAAGAMATGCATTTGATGACATTTGGCAAAATGCAAATTACAGTTTGTTTTTGAGGAGGGTGTGTTCTTCTGGACCAGTACCACAGAATTATCTCATGTGAATGTCTCACTCCTCTGCTTGAAGGTGTGCCTGAAAGTTAGGCAAAACTGTTACACCCACTGAACTCAGCGGCCAACAAATGACATTCATGTTTGAGGTCATGTTAGAACAGAATCTTCTTGTTCTTCTTACAAGGACACGTTTGAATTCATCCAGCCTTTATCTTCTGCTTATTCCAGTTCCCACGTCTTAATCTGTGTGAATTAAACACAAAACAAGATTTTATGCATTGTTTAGACTTCATGTTAACATGAATTTCTAAAAAAAATCATATAATGTTACATCTTTTTTACAATTCCTTTGTCGTACATCTATCCTTGTTTGAGTCACATCCATAAAGTTTATCTTGGATTTTTTTTTATTAACCAGTACAGTGATCACAACCTTTAAAAAGCTGCTCAAAGAACTGTGCTGTTCAGCTTATCTTAATCTGAAAACATCTCAATAAGGTCAGATGAGGGAAGTTTAAGTGTGTCCTGAAGACTTTTGGTGGCAAGCCAAGAAATGTAAAACTTGCTGACGTGATTATGTATAACAATAACTTCTTGGATGTTAGAAATGTCTTCTGCACCTCGAAGTTAGAATTCTGTTAACCTTCAAAGATAAAAAAAAAAAGCAACGTTTGCTAATTCACATTAACTCACATGTGCAACTGGAAGGATTAAAACTTGTGCAAGTCTTGATACAAAAAGAAAAAGTGCAAAAACGTCAAGAAAAAACTATCCTGAGGTGCAGAAGACTAAGGAGGTGTGATGATTGGTAGCACCAGATATACCATAAATGAAAGTTCTACAAGAAGTAAAAACAACTCAAACATTCATAAACATACTGAACATTTAAACAAATCTGGATTAAACAATAGTTGGACCTTGAACAGTCCAAAAGCATCCATGTTAGATTAAATGATAATTATAAATTGTTTTTGGGGTTGGGGTGTGAGAAAGTGAATGGTTGTTTGTCTCTCTATGGCCCTAATGTCATAAAAAGGGCAAACAACGTATCTACTATTGACTCAATGACAGAGCATTGTTCTCTCTTTTTTTTTCTCTCACACACCAGCTTCAAACTGATTCCAGATCTGTGCTCAGAGGCAGAATTGCACCAGCTGTCTGCTTTTAAAGGAGAGACTTTGAATATGGATGGAGAGAGGCGGACAGGATATGAGTGCTTCAAACAGGAACCAGGTGCATCCTTTTCTTTCAATCCTGCATTACTTTTCACAACAAGAACCACACAAACACATTGCACCCTTCTGATATCTTTACCAAGCCTTGGGTTCATTCAGGATGCATGTTTTAGGTTTAAATACAATTTTTAGTCACATATATAAATTGATACTTCACAGAAGAAACGTCATGGAGAGTTTAAACTTTACATTAAGGTGAAACATTGTTCCGAGTCAGACAAGTTCATATTTGAGGTTCATTTTGAAAACCACGGATGTCACATCCTCCACACTAAAGAGGAAAGGGACCATTCAGTGCACATTTCAAATGTCTGCCTCTCTGATGGTATAGGGGTGCATTCGTGCTTCTGGCAGGGGCAGTTTACACACCTCAGTATAACAAAATGGACAGGTTTGAAAATAACAGATGTATTGCATGTTCCAGCAAGACTGTGCTAAACTACATCCTGCATCCATTACAACAGCGTCATGTTAAAAGAGTCTGGATGCTTTACTGATCTGCATAAAACCCAGACTTCTCAACAGCTGAAAAACAGTTGGCGTTTCATGAAACAAAATAATCCTGTAAAGGAGATCCAGGACTGTTGAACAACTCCTACATCAGACAAGAATGGGACATTACCCTCCAAAACCTCCAGCACCTGATCTCTTTGGTTCATGAAAGTTAATCCCTTCTGCTGGGTCAAAATGTCCTCAGAGACTTTAGTTTTAAAACTGAGGTCTCAGGGGTCATTTTGACCCAAGGGCAGCTGGGAAAGATAGCACTGTCCACACATTTTTTTAGATGTGTCTTTAAGATGTGTTGCTGCGATCAGAATAACATTTTTATTAATGGTACATATTCTTAGTTTCAACATTATAAAAAATATATCATTAAAATGTCTAAATTAGAGTTGTAATGTTTTGGGACTAGCCAGTGAAACTGTGGGTTGATGGTTATTTAGATCAGTGGTTCCCAAACTTTTTATCTTCTGACCCACAAAATATTCATGGGAAAAACTTGTGACCCCGAACATTACTGGTCTGAGTAGTAGTACACAAACTTTGTTAATAACCTTAAAAACAAAGGCTACACAAATATAAATACTTATTTATACTTATTTTGTGTTTTTGTAATAATTATAGGGAAAATATTACATCACCAATTATTTTATCACCCTTTAAATTGATTTCTGAAGTGCAGTGGTTCCCAAACCTTTCGGCTTTTGACCCACAAAACAACAGTAGCAGAGACCTGTGCCCACAACTATTTTTGGATGATAAACATTTGCATCAGGTCAACTAAACATGGGCATAGTAACAATATTTATTATTCTGTATTTATACATTTTAGGCAACTAAGGCAAAAATATAATTGATTTAGAAAATCTTTTCAGGACCCCAAATTGATGTTTCAGGACCCCACTTTGGGTCCCGACCCCAACTTTGGGAACCACTGATTTAGATGACTAACCCAGCATGTTACAAGTTTTCTTGAAACACCTGTCTGTACTGTTGCTGATGAGACGGTGTTTAGCTGTGTTTGGTCCCGCCTTTTGCTCTTTTCAACACCCACCCACCAACCTCTCTGGCCAACCCACCACCAGTTCTTTACCCAGCAGCACCGTGAATCTCCTGGACACGTCTTCAGAGCTCCGGACCTGTGGAAGCGAACAGTCCGAGCAGCCGGTGGCCGAAGGAGGCAGCGGACAACAGGGGGCCACACCGCGGGGTGCAGAGACACGAATAACTGCGCTCTCGACGGGAAGACAGCACCGTTAATCAATTTAAAGGTATGTTACTAAATGACAAGACATAAAATCAACAAACCGCCCACTGGCCGCAATTTAATTTGAATTTTGATTGACTTTTTTTTTTTTTTTTTTTTTTTTTTGCGTGCGTAGCTTAGCTTAACTTTTAAGCCAGCGTTTGAAACTCATGATGCCTCGCACAGAAACGGGTTTAAAGTAAACAGAGTTTAGTTATTGTTAATTTTTCATCCCACAGAAAAGGACCCGGTGCTTCATAACACCAATTTAATCTCGTTGAAGCGATGTCAAGTGTGTGAAGCTAACGGGTGTTGTACCCAACTTTGTCACCCCGCAGATTATGTGACCTCATTAGAAGTTTCTGCCCCAGTGCCGTTTTAAAGCCTTTTTCCACACAGTTAATTTCCATTTTTAACTAAGAAATATTCAGCTGCGTTGGTACCTAGTCGGGAAAAAAACTTTTCTCAAATAAAGTAGTGATGAGCTGAAAAATGAAGATGGTGTTTTGAGGTTCCATGTTATTATTAAAACCCAATATTCATATACACGGGTTTTAAAAGGCTAACTTTACTTGAGAATATATAGAAACCAAACCTCTCATATCTATATTTTTGTTTTACTTTTTATAAAACCTCAGACACATTTAGTGTATGTGGTGTGAAGGAATTCTATCCATCGTTTCAGTTTTTAACTTGACAAAACAAAATAAATGGAATAATAAGTTTATCTTGAAAGGTGAAATAGGGAAATATCCATAAAGGTTTGCGAAAGCCACTGTATCTGGGAGAAAAAAACTTTAAATCTTGTCAAATATTTTCAAAACATAAGTTGTAACAGAAGAGTTTTATTTATGTTTTTTCTAGGACATTAAAATTGTCTTTTTTTGCAGTGTATGTAAGTAATTCACTATTAAAGACCATGTGTCTATGAACTAAATAATTGTTTCATATTCTTAGAAGTATTTTAAAAGAGGTGAGATTTCAGAGACAAGAGTTGGTTAATCAGGTGTTTAATGTCTGTCTGTTGTTGGAGGAAATATGCAAATCAGGTAAGGTTTAAAAAGCTGGCACAGTTACAAACTTTTTTTTGTTGTTACCTAACATGTCATTTCCCTCTCCATTACTGTCTTTGTTGTGTGATTGTGTAATATGTATTAATCATCAAATCAAAAGGATAATTGTAAAAAGATTTGGTTTGTTCTTTCAAAAAAATTAGACTTCCAGTCTCTTCAGAAGTAAGACTTTTAAGGCTTACATATATAATTGGATATAAATATATAAATGCAAATTTTGTCCTAGGGTTTTTTCAGACATGAGCTGCATAATGTTGACTTTAATAATCCGTTAAAGTGATTTCATTTGGTCATTACATTACTCACTTTCCATTAATGTTGCCCAGACTTCTTTTATAAGTGCTTGTGAAAGTGACAGTCTGCCTCATCCAGCAACTTAAAAAAAACAACTTTAACATCTTTGGTATTTTGCCAGCCTGCCTCACATATAAATTTATTATAATTTGTTTAGTTTAAACTAAAGCAAGGGTCCAGTATACAGTTTGACTTCTGACTCTGATCATATTTATTATATTAAAACATAAATCTCTCCTATAGAGAGGTACATTGTTGCAACGGATAAACTCAAGTTAACTGAAGCAGAATGACCTTATTCAGTTGCTACAAAACAGCTTTTATAATTCAGATCGTCACGCAAACTTTCACGAGCAAATGTCTACATCTAGCCTGTTTCAGAAAATATGTGAAATATTCTCTTAACAGAAACGTATTTGTTCATGTGAACACTTTTTTTACATCCTGAATTCCAACACAACTTTCACATAAATAATCTAGAGGCATAAAATCTATTTAAAAAAGTTTAGAGGATGACTTTTTATACGCTCAAACTAAAGCCAATTTAGCTTTTTGTATTTCTGGAAGTTTTAAGTGGGGAGCACAACAATGAGCAGCTCTGTTGGTGATGACCTGGTCACTGAAGCATTGCGCAGGTAAACAGGTGCCACATGGCAGATATCCGGATAACACCGAGAACTAAACAGATGGGCTATCATTAGGACTGTAGACACAGTTACCTAATGAGATGAAATTTAAAAAAAGTGATTATGAGCAATCAGTTACAGAAAAAAATTATATTTTATAGAGCAAATAGGAGAGCAGAACGAGATGTTTGGTTTTTATTAACTGTCAGAATGAATCAACAATAAATCTGTCTTGATTTAGTTTGTTCTTTCAATGTTGCAAATTAATGCAAAAGTTTAATCTGAAAGTTAATGAGCCTTTGGTATGTTTAAATGATTTGTGATATGAAATCAACAAATATAAAACCTTTAATGTATCTTGTGTTCATGAATGAACAAAATCACTGACATGTTTGGGTGAACACAGCTGGCTGTTTTGACTAAATATAAAATATATTTTCTGAATTCCTGAATTCTTTCACTTCCAAAAATCAGTAACCCGATACTGATAATAACATGTAGAGCATGTAAAGCATTGGACTCTGAGGACCTGGGTTCAGGAACTACACAAAAATTGGAATCATATTTCAGTTGAAGAACTTGTGTGTTTCAAAACATGAAAACTGAGTTACAGAAAAAGGATTTTCAAGACCAAGCACTCAATCAAACCACAAAAAGACTCGTTTTTTTTTTTTTTTTTTTTGTTTTTTTGTAAATGATCTGTTCAATGACGAGGAAAGATTAATATTAGCAGAGAGAAAGGGGAGAAAAAAGCAGGTAAAAAAATGATTAGATAAATTCAAACTTATCACATTTGGGAATTTGTTAGTCTGAAGTCTGGAATTTCAAATATCTTCTCTAATTTTTGTTATCATATCAGTTGTTTGGAAGACAAGTTATCAACATTTATGGTATGCGTGAAATTTTTTAGCTGAAATCAGGTGATCATGTAGGAAGTAGATTTTTCATAGCCTTTATGTTTTATTTTTTTCTTTTTTTATGTTGTCCTTTCTTTTTCTTTGTATGTTATTCTCCTGTGTGATGGTGGACTGCCCGTTTCATTGTCAGCATCATTGAACCAGCATTTATTTACACCAGTCACTTATTTAATGAATTCAAGCATTTTTACGTCATATTCAATTTTTTAACTTTAAATGTTGTGATTTCATCAGCGTTTTATGCAATAATCTAAGTTGAATGAATACATTTAGATGTCTTAAGTTATTGTGACGTGAACTGTCAGTTGAACATTCTATTGTAAAGTTTATCTATTTAAGTCATAAAACAAACTGAATGTGTGAAAGTCAAAGGATTTCAAAATGACAGGTCAGGTATGAGAGTCCACCTGTCTGTTCCCCATCTAACCTTTTGAAAGAGGTTTTTAATGTGAAGTATTCCTGAGCTTTTATGGTCCAAAGAAAGCTGGGTTTTATTTTAACTACCTAGAGAGCCATAAATCTTAACAGCAACTTAACAATAAAAAAAAACTGCTATACCTCTTGAGCGATGACTAACTGTAAATCAACACAAAGGGTTGTTTGAGATTGTCAGTGAGAAAAAAAGGGCTTTTATTGCGGTAAGTTTTATGCTGATCTAATTTTTAACTTCCCATTTTTTGTTTTTGTCTCTTTCAGAAGAGGCAGTTCTCCACAAAGCTGAAAAAAGGCAGATCTTCTAACAGGATCTACAAGCATGAGTCCTCGCTACAAAATTAATTTCAACGCCTTAATTCTCCTGGTGGTCCTGCAGGGGGCAGCTGTGGTGCTGTTCTGCAGCTGGTATGTTCACTTCAGTCCCTGCGAAACTGAGCCTCCTCGAGGGAAAGTTCATGTTCTGCTGCTCTCATCGTGGCGTTCTGGTTCATCTTTCCTGGGTCAGGTTTTCAGTCAGCACCCGTCTGTTTTCTATCTAATGGAGCCCGCCTGGCATGTGTGGACCAAACTGGAGAAGCCCGGTGCCCGGCTCCTCCGAATGGCTGTGAGGGATTTGATGCGGAGTGTATTCCAATGTGACTTCTCAGTGATGGATTCCTACCTACCAGAAAACTACAACATGTCCTCCTTGTTTATGTGGACTCAAAGTCGGGCTCTGTGCTCGCCTCCTGCGTGCTACGTCACACAGCGAGGTCAGTTTAGCAATGAGACTCAGTGCCTCAAGAACTGTGACTCTCAGGGTTTGGACAAGGTCCAGGCTGCCTGCAACACATACAGTCATGTGGTGTTAAAAGAAGTGCGGTTTTTTGAGCTGGAATCTCTTTACCCACTTCTACAAGACCCCAACCTGGACCTCCGCATCATTCATCTGGTCCGGGACCCCCGAGCTGTGATGAAGTCCAGAGAGGCATCACCCAAAGCATTTTTGAGAGATAGTGCCATAGTCTTGGAGCAGAAAGACATACCTGCAGCTGAAGTGTCGTATAAAGTGCTGCAGGAAATTTGTCGTAGCCACATACGCATCAACGAGAGGGCCATCGTAAAACCGCCGCCGTTCCTAAAAGGCCGCTACAAAATGGTACGTTATGAAGACCTGGCACGAAACCCACTAAAGGAAGTCAGTGATATTTATGACTTTGTAGGTTTAGAAATGTCCAATCAAATGGGGGAATGGATCTATAAGAAGACTCATGGAAAAGGGAAAGGCACGAAGAAAGAGGCGTTTCAGATTACTTCTAGAAACGCTGCAGACGTCTCCCAGGCCTGGCGCACCGTGCTGCCATACAGCAAGGTCAAACGTGTTCAGGAAATGTGTAAAGGAGCCATGAAACTGCTCGGCTACAAGACTGTTGACAGTGAAAAAGAGCAGAAGAGACTCGACATAGATCTGCTAGTTCCACGGGAACCATTTCAGTTCAGCTGGATACCAGCTAAAACAGAGCAGGCTGATAAGATTTAAAACGCTGAAGAGACTGACGCTTCTGAAAAATGGAGTAGAGGACACTGGTTTAAAGTTCTTATTTAAAGAAAGTAGATGCCAAACACTGTTTGTTTGTTTACAAGACTCAGATGAAGCATGACAGCCCAGGCGTGGTGTGACACAATCTAAACTTGCCTGACATCGCTGGAAAAATCAGCTTCTGATTCTGGAATTTCACTGAAGTTTAACAGAAAAGATTTTTTTTAATCAGTTTAGCAAAAATTACCAAATTTTTGTTAAAGTGGGAAAATATTTGAAGCACTTTGTTATAGTATTTTAATATTGATTAGTTTGTTCAAATTTTCTGTGAAAAAATATTATATGAAACCAATCCAACTGGAAATATGAGAAATTATAAAGGTTCTTAATTTGTTGAAAGAGGACAGTACATTTCTGTTTCTTTACTTTCTTGTTTAGTTTTGTGACTGAGGTAACTTTGAACTCGCACCACTTGTTTTGCTTTAATGTTCTGGTGACATAAAGTGACAACAAAAAATAGCTTCAAATGCTGACGGCATGAACTAATTTGAATACAAGTCTGTGCTCTGGCTTCAGGCCAGTGCTTTGAAAAGATTATCTCAAACAATGCTTAGAGGAATGTTGATGTGCTGAGTGATTTCACTGAGACATCAAAGACAGATACCTTATTATTACAAATTTATAACAGAGCATAATTTTAATATCACAAATAACTTCTTAGATTGAAATAAATCATAGACCGCTATTTTCAAAGACCACTCGGTCATGTTCTGCAGGCTAATACATTTGGTCAAAACAAAATCTCACATCATAATACCCAATGCAAGGTACTTTTTAAACACTACTTTATAGCTTGATTGCAACCATTCCTGATACTTTAAAAACTCTGCAGGCCAATAGTTGGTCAGAAAAAACAAATCAAAAGTTTGAGAACTTTGTCTTGAAGGATAAACCAGATAATTAGATATTTATCTCCTATAAACGTTCTGAGCCAAGACTTGTTTTTATTGAAGGGTTTTATAAACAGGTTATGATTTCAGGAAGTGGAGACTTAAAGTAAAATGAATGTTAAACTCCAAATGAAAACTGTTGGCTGAATCATTTAACAAACTAGTTTTTAGAACACTAACAGGGTAGGAGACAACAGGCTCCTAGTCTTGGTCTTAAACAGGGCTAATAATTGAGTTTTCTTTCATTTCTACTCAGTGTTTCTGTTTTTATCCTCTGCTTTTTTTTTTTTTTTTTTTTTTTTTTGTCGCCTGCTGCCATGAAGGGCAGCTGGAAATGTCTCTGCGTTATCTGTTAGCAAACATCTCAAGGTTCAAGATGTCTCTCACAACTAGTAGACATTAGCAAAGACAAAATATCTTTAAAGCAGTTAATTTGAAGAACTTGAGTTAAAAGTTGTGGTAGCTGAGAGTCATCCCTCTCACGTAGTTGGAGCATTTTGTCCCGTCTTTGATTGAAACTTTGGCACGACTTTAAAGAATGCTACCTTGGTTTTGTTTTTTGTAGGTTTTTTTTTCCTGTTTTTGTTTTATTTTGTCTAATCTTATCAGCTCCTTTGTGTTCTTCAATGTGTTTTTAAGCCTTTTTTTATATTTATGTCTGACCTTCATTCTTTTATTTATTTATTGACTCTTCAAACGAAAATGTTGTGAATTTTTTCGAAGAGGCTCTGATCCAGGAACTCATTTATCTAGTCCAAATTAAAAAAAACATTCATGATCAAATGTTCTGTAAATTTTAACAATTTGGGATTAATTTGTTTATATCCTACCAAGTGTGTTTAATGTATAAATACAGTCAGAAAACTTGAACATTCAATACGTCTGCTGTCTTTTTGTCTCACTAAATGTTCATTTTTTGCATTCTGGAAACAACATTAGTGAAACTTTAATTTTGGTAATCTCATGAGATCTGTGAGAGTATGACAAATAAAAACAAACTTGAATCAGTTTAAAAACAAGATAATTATGTGTAAAGTCATCAGTTTATGAACTGAAAGAGAAAACAAATCTTAGTGGAACTCAGACTATTTATTCTTTTATTAATCACTTTCAGAGCTAAAATGAGGAAAACTGATGAGTCATCACGAAATACTTTGAATAATCTGAACTGTGGTGTTACTGGCATGTTTCCATCATTAGAAACCACTTCAACACGTAAACCACCGGTGGAACCTCATTTGCCACATTCTTCCTGAGGAGTCATCTAATGTGACGTTGATTACGGTCGACTTGATTCTTCTGATYATTTACTGTAAGAGATGCTAACTGGACTGACAGGATCTGCAGGAGTTTAGTCAACAATTTCATATTAAACTTTATCTGTATTTTTACAGTCATGTTGAAGAAGTCAGTGTTTATATATATATCTTATAAATGTATCAGCAGAAAATCAGCACTCAGTTTTCATGTCTACAGTGTGTCAAATTAATGATCACTTTAAAATAAAAAACATTAATTTCCTCCCCTGTCTTCACAACAGTACAGTTCTCCATCACCTAATTTCTGATGATTTTTACAAGGAAAATAAAAAAGTAATTCAGTTTTTAACAACCTTTTAAATTGTTTTCAAGACCGATTATTTACAGTTTAAATTGAGTAAATAATAAAATAAATTAAAAAACAATAAAACATCTGACATTTAAAAAAACGGCCCAATAGTTTAATTCAGATTTTTCAAAACTTGAAAGTGAAAAATGTCCAACATCCAGGGGTGTCACCAAAGGGGGGCTAAAAAAGGACATRCATGGCCACCTCTATAAATTATGTCCTTGATCAGAGGTCTTTTTTTTCTTATTTATATGTGGAACCTCATATGCATACAATTCTTGAACAATTAGTAGTTAAAAGAACACATTTAATTAAATAAAAAATAAAGTTTAAAAGCTAGTCTTTTTGAATAAGGAGTCAAACTGAATAAAAYACAGTGCAGAAAGCCAATATCTAGATCAGAGTGGAGGATCAAAGGAGGGTATGTTTTTATAAATTTAAATTTAGGGAGAACAAGCTGCAATAATTCAAATAGGGACAGTGCTGAAACCAAGTCAGAGGGYGATTCTCCCATAAAGCTGCATTTTTCAAATATCCTGAATAGGACAGCATATTAAATTCTGTTTCAGCTTCCGGTTTAGGTATCAGCGCCCATCAGGCCAATCATTCTGAAAACTTTCTGAGGCGTCAATATCTGAAGAGTTATCATTCTTTATGTAGGAGCCATTTATCCTTTCTGGTGTTTATTGCCACCAGGGGGCGTATTTAATTTTGAGTTCTGAGTGTCTGATGGGGGGATGGGTTATTTAAGGTCAACCATGATTCTGTTCAGGTGTTGTTAATAGGTAGAGGCAAATAGTTTTCTACTGTGCTTGGTTTTGGATGTATGTCGAATTTATGTGGATCTTAAGGGAAACAGTAAGACAATGGACAYTGTACTGAAAATAAATGACTTTATTTTAAGTCAAACRRAAGATCGGCATGCTGAATCTTAATTKAGCGCACGTAAAACCAATGYCTTTCAAGAACAACCACCAGTAGCCTAAAATATAGGATTTTAGCCGCTACATTTAGGTAGAAAACTGTCTCATT